AACGTGTTACAAAACCCAACGATTTGTTCTAGTACTTTTTAGAAAACAATATCTAAATGAAATTTTCATGTAAAGCTCGTGATTCCATAAATCAAAAATCATCTCAATCAGAGTATAATGGATTTTATACGAATTTTATAAAATCAGTACACTGATACAATATAAAATCTGATAAATTTAAGGAGTTACAAATTTGATCAAATTAGAACCAAAATTAGGCTTTTGTTCATGTAATCAAAAACTATAGTAAACATCTTTAACTTTTCTATTAATAAATCTAAAATAGTTTAGATTTTTCTGAAAATTGAGATAAATATAGTATTCAAAACTTGATACTTTATATGGAAAAACTAAGTGGTTTGTGTGTCAAATTTTAAATTTAGTAAGAAGAATTTACATTTTATATCCTTATAGTTAGTTATTTAATTTATATTATATATTTTATTTTTTTATTTTTTTATTTTTTAATTTACACATTTATTGTATTAACACATATAATCGTATATTAATTAAAATACATTTTTTTAATAAATTACACTATTATAATCGTCTCGTTAATACGTTAAAAATGAGTCAATATTGAATATTATAAAGTTTCTTCAACGCCGCCTGGTCCAGCTGCATGCTACCCATTTCTCGAGTCCTCTCAATGATTTGAATCCACACCCAACATATTGGCTTTCTTTAGCTGTCAGAGAAGAAAACTGCAAGGAACGATGTCTTTTTCTGGTGGGAGAACCATTACTATCGTCTCAAAGAAAATTATTTTCTTCGGCCAAGATACGGTGACGTTTTTCTGACGGCGATTGGTGGTTGTTGTTGGTAACAGGGATTGTGGTAAATCAACGAAGAGTTCAGGTGTCCATTTGGAAGCATAATGGGTGATGATGGAACCAATGAGGTCAAACCCCTTTGGATTTGATATTGTGTAGGGTTTTGACGAATTGGTCGATGTCGAGAATGAAAGCATTGTCTAACCAGCATTTGGTGGCGAGTGATGTTGGTTTGCCGTTGGGAAAAATGGCGGTTTCGATGAGGATATGTGGTCCACTGTAGTGGCGGTGGTGGTGGAAGAATTTGGTGAGGAATTAATGAGGCGGTGGATGGTAACATGTCGTTTTTACATGGTTTATGCCCGAGAAATTTATCTAATTTGTTATTTCACCAAATTGATTTTACTTTTTAGCTATTTTAGGAACCTTTTTTCTTTAATAGCCAGAGTTTACAATAAAACTTTACGCAGAAGGGTAGTTTCTGCATAAAGTTTGTTTTCGGACAAAAAAAAGAATATAATTTAGAAAGGTAATTTTAGGTAGAAAAAAAAAACTTTACGTAAATGAGACTTTATGCAGAAAATCAATTTTCTGAGTAAAGTTTTAATAGATTAAACTTTTTTATATTTTACATCTTATAATTAGTTATTTAATTTACTTTATATCTCTTATTTTTTTCATTTTTCATTTTACATATTTATTATATTAAGATACATAATTGTATATTAACTAAAATACATGAAAGTATATATGATTTTTTTTACAAATTACAACATTTTACATGTTCTACCCTTATGGGCTCATTTTGAATGTATTGATGAGACGATCATAATGGTGTAATTTGTAAAAAAATAAAATATATTTTTGTCATGTCTTTTAACAAATATACAGTTATATGTGTTGATATAATAAATGTGTAAAATGAAAAATAAAAAAGTAAAAGATATAATATAAATTAAATAATTAATTATAATGGTGTAATGTGTATTTTTTTTACTAAATTAAAACAGTAAACTTTGGTTATTTGAGGAAAATAGCTCCTAAAATGACAAAAAAATGAAATCAATTTTGTGAAATGAGTATTTGTGTAAATTTCCTTTTATGGTCGCATGTGGATAAAAAGAAACAAAAATTAAATTTGAGAAAACAATAAAAACAAATTCTTTATAAAACAAACAAATAATTACAGAAAAAAAAAATCTCAATCCATATTCTACAAATCAAACATATCAAACATGATTTATAAATGAATGGATTTCAAATCCAACACACATAAAGATTTCAAATCCATTTCAATCCAATCCCTCCTGATCCAAATCCTTAAAACACAATCTAGCAAAACAAACGCACCTTAAGAGTTTAAAAAAAAAAACCTAAATTCCTCTAGGAAAAAGATAAAACCTAAATAATTTGTTATATATATATATATATATAGGTGAGTTATTATGCATTCATTTACATTTGTACAATCAATACAACTCAATCTCAATTGTCCATTTAATTTGATAAATATGTGATTCCATAAAAGTTTAGATTGTTTTCTAATATAAAGTATTGATCATAATTAATACTTTAGTCATCTTCCATAAATATTCAAATAATAATAAATGAACTCTCATCATTTTCATAAATATTTTAATTGATTGGGTTGAATTGGTTGTACAAATGTGACGAGTTGCATTTGAAACGTCCTCTCTCTCTGTGTGTGTGTGTGTGTGTGTATATATATATATAGGGTTGGGTCCACGTGAGACCAAGGGTTTTTCATGAGACCCGTAAGACCAATTTATATTTATTGATCAACTTTATAAGCTAATGATCTAATGGTCTAAAGTTGCACGATGACAATTTTGTGATTATTGAGAAGTCTTGTGGCAATTTTGTGATTATGAATGTTCAAATTGTAGATTTAATCCAAGGGTTGAGAATTGGTCTTACGGTTCTCAGAAAAAACCCTTGGTCTCACATGATCCCAGGTCTATATATATATATATAGGCTGGGTTCAAGTGAGACCAATATGTTTTCGTAAGACCATAAAATAACACTGAAACTTTACTACAAAACATCATAAAAATACAAAAAATATCACACCTTCATAATAAAACATCATAAAAATTTACCTTCAGAGTGTTTTACTTTGATGTATTAATATTATTATACGATCTCCTATCATGAAAACCGTCTGATCCCAAATCATACAGATACATGACATACAATTATTTTATTTTATATAAAAAGTAATCTTTAAAAAAATCTTGATCTCAAGTTCTCATCTTTTTGACACCCACTTTTTGGCTTTGATTCGGATTCCCAAATCTTAAATGATTCCCTTCCCAATTGCATGCAAGTAGGCATCCATAACTACCAAATTAGTAAACATTATTATTTGAATGGTCAATTGTCAACTTATATTTCTTTAAAAATATCACAAACAATATTTAAATCATTAATCATTTAGTATTTATATATTCATAATTTCGTATACTCATCATAACGTTTAATATTTGATCAAGAACTAGAAGCATCGTAAAAGTCGGGGCTGATTTTAGGAAGAATCAATAGGGATTTGAATTAAAGTTTGATTTAATACTGATTCTTTTGTGTTTTTTTGGCTGATTTGGGATTTTTGTGTCTTTTTGGCTGGTTTTAGAAAGAATCAGTAGGGGTTTGAATTAAAGTTTAATTTAATACTGATGTTATTGTGTATTTTCGGCTGATTTGGGATTTTTTTTTAATATTATTGTTACTATCGGAAGGTCTCATCTTGGATCATACCGTTTGGTTTTCAACTTAAAAATATAAGAAATAGTCAATAAGTGACATAAGTTTTAGTATTATAAGGTATCGACCGAGTCGTTAACGAGTAAAGTTTAATTTTGGTCCTTAAGGTTTAGTGAAAAGTTTGGAAGTAGGATATGGACTTTATAAGTTTAGAAGGTATCCTTTTGGTTTGTATTTTGTTCTGAAATGGTTCCTCATCACTAACTTCGTTAAAATCTTTCAGTTAAGTGAGGAATATTTTCATCTTTTTATTTGTCTATTTTACTGTTTGACTTTTTATTTTTACTTTTGTAACAACCCTCAAAGTTAGGAACCAACTACATAACTAATTCATACATATATATGTGTGTGTGTGTGCGCGCACGCGTATACTTCGCCCTGACGGAGCAATGCCGTGTAGAGGTAGAAGGCCCACGGGTCGTGAACTGGTTACGGAGGGATCGTTTCGTTTTTGAGAATTCAAGAGAAGGTGACGACGATGTGAGCAACTGGTGGAGGAAGAACCCTATCAGACAACTAGACCGGAATAAGGTTATACCTCTAATTATATGAATTTTTCTAGAAGATATATATATATATATATATATATATATATATATA